AATATATACACAAGTGAATCATTAATATTCATTATTTATTTCACACACTAGCATAATCATTGATTTCACGCATCTGCGTGATTATTGATTTAAATTACTGAATTCCCAGGGTTTGTTAATATTTTTAAAATGTGACATTGATTTTTCTAATTGTATAAATACGGAGTTGTTGTTTAACACATTCGACTGTTGTTTGAGACAGTAAAAGCTCTCATATCAACGTCCAGTCTTCTCTTTTATTTGTCTTGCGTGCCCGGCGGTATTATTGTTGTTGTTGTTGACGTGCGATTAAGACAGATTAACCAGCGCATTAGTTAGATTCGCTCGTAGTCTACAAGGTCCTCATATTCACATACATAACAAATTTGGCGACGGGTTTGTTCAAGATGGACTCACTGCGTTTAGAGAAACTAATGGAACAGCAGCTAAAATTGATGGAAATGCTTGCTGGTCTACAAATATCACGCTCTGCTGATTCATCTACAGCCAACGACAGCATTGGTAGTAGCATCTCAGAATTCGTTTATGATCCAGATGCGAACGTGACTTTTGATACCTGGTTTCGCAGATATGAAGACCTATTTCGAGTAGACTTTGCGGATAAAGATGATGCCTGGAAAGTACGGCTTCTACTTCGTAAATTGGGAGCAGATGAGCTAGACAAATGCTGCAACTTAATTCTGCCACAGAAGCCCAGTGAAAGATCATTCGATGAAACTGTCCATACCCTTCGTCATCAGTTTGGTGATCAGAGATCGTTATTCAACATTCGATATCATTGCATGAAACTAGTTTTGAACGAAAATGATGATATCCATACTCAGTTGGGTATAGTCAATCGCACGTGTGAACGTTTTAAATTGAAATCACTCTCAGAAGACCAGTTCAAGGTATTGATTTTCATTTGTGGTTTGCAGTCTCCCAAATTTGCTGATATACGCACACGTCTATTAAATCGTCTGGAACAAGATCCACGAATGACTTTGAAAGACGTCGGTGAAGAATATCAGCGTTTAATCAACATTCACAACGATACCGTCTTGGTGCAGTCTGGCAGCCAAAATGCAGCAGAAGTGCATGCGGTGCATCCAGTACCGTCGACATCAACCACACCACTTCATCCTCAGCATAAACCACCATCAGCCTGCTGGCACTGTGGCTCCTGGCATTTTGCAAACTTGTGCCCATTCAAACAGCATAAATGCCGTCGATGCCATACTGTTGGTCACAAAGATGGCTACTGCAAACGCAACAACCGACCCAGACGGCGCAACAAGCTCAAGTCTTTGGGTGTTACTGCCACATATCATATTAGTACTCCAGCACCTCGCAAATATATCAATCTGACGATTAATACACGGCCGGCACGCCTACAAATCGACACAGCATCCGATATTACAATAATATCAAAGAAATTATGGCAGAAGTTGGGATGCCCTGCCATAGAGAAGACAAATCAGATAGCAATTAGCGCATGTGGTGGAAGACTTCGATTGAATGAAGAAAATAAATGCAGCGTTGGTTTTCGCGATAGTCATTTCATCGGCACATGCTACATCAATAATTCAAACCCTGACCTCTTGGGTTTAGACTGGTTCGAGAAGCTGCACCTGTCAGAGATTCCGTTAAGCAGTGTATGCCAAAAGATCGAAAGTATTGAACCCTCAACAAGAAAGCCAGAAATCAGAGACAGATATATTAAACCTAAGCCCATTAGAAAGAATGACGTGATTAATGAAACACCAACTTCGAATCGTCACAGTGAGTATGGCTGCGCCAAAAGTGCTTCGATGTCTGGTAGCAACAAAGTAGCAACTGTTAGCTCCAGTAAGAGAGGCTCTGCTCAAAAACTGAAAGTGATGTCTGTCATGGCAGCCAAAGATCCGCCACCAAGAGCATGGCCCACGTCAAAACCGTGGTCCCGCCTACATGTGGATTTTGCTGGGCCGATAGAAGGTGTATACTACTTGGTTCTCGTGGACTCTTACTCAAAATGGCCGGAGATAGTACAAGTGACACCACCTTCTAGCAGCAGAACAGTATCAGTCCTGGAAAAGATCTTCGCATGTCACGGTATACCAGAAATCATCGTATCTGACAATGGCGGTCAGTTCACCTCACAAGCGTTCCAGGAATTTTGCAAGAGAAACGGTATACAACACGTGCGGGCGCCACCTTATCACCCTCAATCCAACGGTCAGGCAGAAAGATTTGTCGACACTTTCAAACGAGCGTTGTTGAAAGCAGGGGGAGGGGCGAAACCGGAAGCAATACAAAACTTTCTTTTTGTATACCGAACTACACCACTGGCAGAACAGAAGAAAAGCCCTGCAGAACTTCTAATGGGTCGAATGCTACGAACTCATCACCACTCCATGTTACCATCTTCGTCACATCAACGAAGAAATAGTGTGACGTATTACCGCAAGGGTGATGCTGTCTATGTGCGCGATTATCGACCGAGGAACAGAAAATGGGCCGAAGGCTTGATAGGACGTCGACATGGAACTCTAATGTACAAGGTTAAAGTTGGAGATGAATGGTGGATAAGACATAAAAATCAGATACGACGTCGATATATTACATCCCAAGAACCTAAATTGCCACTGGATTTACTACTGGAAACTTTCAAAATACCACCAGTCAAACCAGAAGCAAAACAAGAGATGCTACCCAGCCGACGATCCCTGCGCAAACGAACACAAACAGTTCATTTCCAAATCGACCCCAAGGAAAAAAGATACTAAACTGTTTGCGAGATTCTTTCTAAAAGGGGGAGGTAATATATACACAAGTGAATCATTAATATTCATTAATTATTTCACACACTAGCATAATCATTCATTTCACGCATCTGCGTGATTATTGATTTAAATTACTGAATTCCCAGGGTTTGTTAATATTTTTAAAATGTGACATTGATTTTTCTAATTGTATAAATACGGAGTTGTTGTTTAACATTTTCGACTGTTGTTTGAGACAGTAAAAGCTCTCATATCAACGTCCAGTCTTCTCTTTTATTTGTCTTGCGTGCCCGGCGGTATTATTGTTGTTGTTGTTGACGTGCGATTAAGACAGATTAGCCAGCGCACAAATTAGATTCGCTCGTAGTCTACAAGGTCCTCATATTCACATACATAACAAATTTGGCGACGGGTTTGCTGAAGATGGACTCACTGCGTTTAGAGAAACTAATGGAACAGCAGCTAAAATTGATGGAAATGCTTGCTGATCTACAAATATCACGCTCTGCTGATTCATCTACAGCCAACGACAGCATTGGTAGTAGCATCTCAGAATTCGTTTATGATCCAGATGCGAACGTAACATTTGATACCTGGTTTCGCAGATATGAAGACCTATTTCGAGCAGACTTTGCGGATAAAGACGATGCCTGGAAAGTACGGCTTCTACTTCGTAAATTGGGAGCAGATGAGCTAGATAAATACTGCAACTTAATTCTGCCACAGAAGCCCAGTGAAAGATCATTCGATGAAACTGTCCATACCCTTCGTCATCAGTTTGGTGATCAGAGGTCGTTATTCAACATTCGATATCATTGCATGAAACTAGTTTTGAACGAAAATGATGATATCCATACTCAGTTGGGTATAGTCAATCGCACGTGTGAACGTTTTAAATTGAAATCACTCTCAGAAGACCAGTTCAAGGTATTGATTTTCATTTGTGGTTTGCAGTCTCCCAAATTTGCTGATATACGCACACGTCTATTAAATCGTCTGGAACAAGATCCACGAATGACTTTGAAAGACGTCGGTGAAGAATATCAGCGTTTAATCAACATTCACAACGATACCGTCTTGGTGCAGTCTGGCAGCCAAAATGCAGCAGAAGTGCATGCGGTGCATCCAGTACCGTCAACATCAACCGCACCGCTTCATCCTCAGCATAAACCACCATCAGCCTGCTGGCACTGTGGCTCCTGGCATTTCGCAAACTTGTGCCCATTCAAACAGCATAAATGCCGTCGATGCCATACTGTTGGTCACAAAGATGGCTACTGCAAACGCAACAACCGACCCAGATCTCGTAGTCGACTCAGACGGCGCAACAAGCTCAAGTCTTTGGGTGTTACTGCCACATATCATATTAGTACTCCAGCACCTCGCAAATATATCAATCTGACGATTAATACACGGCCGGCACGCCTACAAATCGACACAGCATCCGATATTACAATAATATCAAAGAAATTATGGCAGAAGTTGGGATGCCCTGCCATAGAGAAGACAAATCAGATAGCAATTAGCGCATGTGGTGGAAGACTTCGATTGAATGAAGAAAATAAATGCAGCGTTGGTTTTCGCGATAGTCATTTCATCGGCACATGCTACATCAATAATTCAAACCCTGACCTCTTGGGTTTAGACTGGTTCGAGAAGCTGCACCTGTCAGAGATTCCGTTAAGCAGTGTATGCCAAAAGATCGAAAGTATTGAACCCTCAACAAGAAAGCCAGAAATCAGAGACAGATATATTAAACCTAAGCCCATTAGAAAGAATGACGTGATTAATGAAACACCAACTTCGAATCGTCACAGTGAGTATGGCTGCGCCAAAAGTGCTTCGATGTCTGGTAGCAACAAAGTAGCAACTGTTAGCTCCAGTAAGAGAAGCTCTGCTCAAAAACTGAAAGTGATGTCGGTCATGGCAGCCAAAGATCCGCCACCGAGAGCATGGCCCACGACAAAACCATGGTCCCGCGTACATGTGAATTTTGCTGGGCCGATAGAAGGTATATACTACTTGGTTCTCGTGGACTCTTACTCAAAATGGCCGGAGATAGTACAAGTGACACCACCTTCTAGCAGCAGAACAGTATCAGTCCTGGAAAAGATCTTCGCATGTCACGGCATACCAGAAATCATCGTATCTGACAATGGCAGTCAGTTCACCTCACAAGCGTTCCAGGAATTTTGCAAGAGAAACGGTATACAACACGTGCGGACGCCACCTTATCACCCGCAATCCAACGGTCAGGCAGAGAGATTTGTCGACACCTCCAAACGAGCGTTGTTGAAAGCAGGGGGAGCGGGGAAACCGGAAGCAATACAAAACTTTCTTTTTGTATACCGAACTACACCACTGACAGAACAGAAGAAAAGCCCTGCAGAACTTCTAATGGGTCGAATGCTACGAACTCATCACCACTCCATGTTACCATCTTCGTCACATCAACGAAGAAATAGTGTGACGTATTACCGCAAGGGTGATGCTGTCTATGTGCGCGATTATCGACCGAGGAACAGAAAATGGGCCGAAGGCTTGATAGGACGTCGACGTGGAACTCTAATGTACAAGGTTAAAGTTGGAGATGAATGGTGGATAAGACATAAAAATCAGATACGACGTCGATATATTACATCCCAAGAACCTAAATTGCCACTGGATTTACTACTGGAAACTTTCAAAATACCACCAGTCAAACCAGAAGCAAAACAAGAGATGCTACCCAGCCGACGATCCCTGCGCAAACGAACACAAACAGTTCATTTCCAAATCGACCCCAAGGAAAAAAGATACTAAACTGTTTGCGAGATTCTTTCTAAAAGGGGGAGGTAATATATACACAAGTGAATCATTAATATTCATTATTTATTTCACACACTAGCATAATCATTGACTTCACGCATCTGCGTGATTATTGATTTAAATTACTGAATTCCCAGGGTTTGTTAATATTTTTAAAATGTGACATTGATTTTTCTAATTGTATAAATACGGAGTTGTTGTTTAACATATTCGACTGTTGTTTGAGACAGTAAAAGCTCTCATATCAACGTCCAGTCTTCTCTTTTATTTGTCTTGCGTGCCCGGCGGTATTATTGTTGTTGTTGTTGACGTGCGATTAAGACAGATTAGCCAGCGCATTAGTTAGATTCGCTCGTAGTCTACAAGGTCCTCATATTCACATACATAACAAATTTGGCGACGGGTTTGTTCAAGATGGACTCACTGCGTTTAGAGAAACTAATGGAACAGCAGCTAAAATTGATGGAAATGCTTGCTGGTCTACAAATATCACGCTCTGCTGATTCATCTACAGCCAACGACAGCATTGGTAGTAGCATCTCAGAATTCGTTTATGATCCAGATGCGAACGTGACTTTTGATACCTGGTTTCGCAGATATGAAGACCTATTTCGAGTAGACTTTGCGGATAAAGATGATGCCTGGAAAGTACGGCTTCTACTTCGTAAATTGGGAGCAGATGAGCTAGATAAATGCTGCAACTTAATTCTGCCACAGAAGCCCAGTGAAAGATCATTCGATGAAACTGTCCATACCCTTCGTCATCAGTTTGGTGATCAGAGATCGTTATTCAACATTCGATATCATTGCATGAAACTAGTTTTGAACGAAAATGATGATATCCATACTCAGTTGGGTATAGTCAATCGCACGTGTGAACGTTTTAAATTGAAATCACTCTCAGAAGACCAGTTCAAGGTATTGATTTTCATTTGTGGTTTGCAGTCTCCCAAATTTGCTGATATACGCACACGTCTATTAAATCGTCTGGAACAAGATCCACGAATGACTTTGAAAGACGTCGGTGAAGAATATCAGCGTTTAATCAACATTCACAACGATACCGTCTTGGTGCAGTCTGGCAGCCAAAATGCAGCAGAAGTGCATGCGGTGCATCCAGTACCGTCGACATCAACCACACCACTTCATCCTCAGCATAAACCACCATCAGCCTGCTGGCACTGTGGCTCCTGGCATTTTGCAAACTTGTGCCCATTCAAACAGCATAAATGCCGTCGATGCCATACTGTTGGTCACAAAGATGGCTACTGCAAACGCAACAACCGACCCAGATCTCGTAGTCGACTCAGACGGCGCAACAAGCTCAAGTCTTTGGGTGTTACTGCCACATATCATATTAGTACTCCAGCACCTCGCAAATATATCAATCTGACGATTAATACACGGCCGGCACGCCTACAAATCGACACAGCATCCGATATTACAATAATATCAAAGAAATTATGGCAGAAGTTGGGATGCCCTGCCATAGAGAAGACAAATCAGATAGCAATTAGCGCATGTGGTGGAAGACTTCGATTGAATGGAGAAATTAAATGCAGCGTTGGTTTTCGCGATAGTCATTTCATCGGCACATGCTACATCAATAATTCAAACCTTGACCTCTTGGGTTTAGACTGGTTCGAGAAGCTGCACCTGTCAGAGATTCCGTTAAGCAGTGTATGCCAAAAGATCGAAAGTATTGAACCCTCAACAAGAAAGCCAGAAATCAGAGACAGATATATTAAACCTAAGCCCATTAGAAAGAATGACGTGATTAATGAAACACCAACTTCGAATCGTCACAGTGAGTATGGCTGCGCCAAAAGTGCTTCGATGTCTGGTAGCAACAAAGTAGCAACTGTTAGCTCCAGTAAGAGAGGCTCTGCTCAAAAACTGAAAGTGATGTCTGTCATGGCAGCCAAAGATCCGCCACCAAGAGCATGGCCCACGTCAAAACCGTGGTCCCGCCTACATGTGGATTTTGCTGGGCCGATAGAAGGTGTATACTACTTGGTTCTCGTGGACTCTTACTCAAAATGGCCGGAGATAGTACAAGTGACACCACCTTCTAGCAGCAGAACAGTATCAGTCCTGGAAAAGATCTTCGCATGTCACGGTATACCAGAAATCATCGTATCTGACAATGGCGGTCAGTTCACCTCACAAGCGTTCCAGGAATTTTGCAAGAGAAACGGTATACAACACGTGCGGTCGCCACCTTATCACCCTCAATTCAACGGTCAGGCAGAAAGATTTGTCGACACTTTCAAACGAGCGTTGTTGAAAGCAGGGGGAGGGGCGAAACCGGAAGCAATACAAAACTTTCTTTTTGTATACCGAACTACACCACTGGCAGAACAGAAGAAAAGCCCTGCAGAACTTCTAATGGGTCGAATGCTACGAACTCATCACCACTCCATGTTACCATCTTCGTCACATCAACGAAGAAATAGTGTGACGTATTACCGCAAGGGTGATGCTGTCTATGTGCGCGATTATCGACCGAGGAACAGAAAATGGGCCGAAGGCTTGATAGGACGTCGACGTGGAACTCTAATGTACAAGGTTAAAGTTGGAGATGAATGGTGGATAAGACATAAAAATCAGATACGACGTCGATATATTACATCCCAAGAACCTAAATTGCCACTGGATTTACTACTGGAAACTTTCAAAATACCACCAGTCAAACCAGAAGCAAAACAAGAGATGCTACCCAGCCGACGATCCCTGCGCAAACGAACACAAACAGTTCATTTCCAAATCGACCCCAAGGGAAAAAGATACTAAACTGTTTGCGAGATTCTTTTTAAAAGGGGGAGGTAATATATACACAAGTGAATCATTAATATTCATTATTTATTTCACACACTAGCATAATCATTGATTTCACGCATCTGCGTGATTATTGATTTAAATTACTGAATTCCCAGGGTTTGTTAATATTTTTAAAATGTGACATTGATTTTTCTAATTGTATAAATACGGAGTTGTTGTTTAACATATTCGACTGTTGTTTGAGACAGTAAAAGCTCTCATATCAACGTCCAGTCTTCTCTTTTATTTGTCTTGCGTGCCCGGCGGTATTATTGTTGTTGTTGTTGACGTGCGATTAAGACAGATTAACCAGCGCATTAGTTAGATTCGCTCGTAGTCTACAAGGTCCTCATATTCACATACATAACAAATTTGGCGACGGGTTTGTTCAAGATGGACTCACTGCGTTTAGAGAAACTAATGGAACAGCAGCTAAAATTGATGGAAATGCTTGCTGGTCTACAAATATCACGCTCTGCTGATTCATCTACAGCCAACGACAGCATTGGTAGTAGCATCTCAGAATTCGTTTATGATCCAGATGCGAACGTGACTTTTGATACCTGGTTTCGCAGATATGAAGACCTATTTCGAGTAGACTTTGCGGATAAAGATGATGCCTGGAAAGTACGGCTTCTACTTCGTAAATTGGGAGCAGATGAGCTAGACAAATGCTGCAACTTAATTCTGCCACAGAAGCCCAGTGAAAGATCATTCGATGAAACTGTCCATACCCTTCGTCATCAGTTTGGTGATCAGAGATCGTTATTCAACATTCGATATCATTGCATGAAACTAGTTTTGAACGAAAATGATGATATCCATACTCAGTTGGGTATAGTCAATCGCACGTGTGAACGTTTTAAATTGAAATCACTCTCAGAAGACCAGTTCAAGGTGTTGATTTTCATTTGTGGGTTGCAGTCTCCCAAATTTGCTGATATACGCACACGTCTATTAAATCGTCTGGAACAAGATCCACGAATGACTTTGAAAGACGTCGGTGAAGAATATCAGCGTTTAATCAACATTCACAACGATACCGTCTTGGTGCAGTCTGGCAGCCAAAATGCAGCAGAAGTGCATGCGGTGCATCCAGTACCGTCGACATCAACCACACCACTTCATCCTCAGCATAAACCACCATCAGCCTGCTGGCACTGTGGCTCCTGGCATTTTGCAAACTTGTGCCCATTCAAACAGCATAAATGCCGTCGATGCCATACTGTTGGTCACAAAGATGGCTACTGCAAACGCAACAACCGACCCAGACGGCGCAACAAGCTCAAGTCTTTGGGTGTTACTGCCACATATCATATTAGTACTCCAGCACCTCGCAAATATATCAATCTGACGATTAATACACGGCCGGCACGCCTACAAATCGACACAGCATCCGATATTACAATAATATCAAAGAAATTATGGCAGAAGTTGGGATGCCCTGCCATAGAGAAGACAAATCAGATAGCAATTAGCGCATGTGGTGGAAGACTTCGATTGAATGAAGAAAATAAATGCAGCGTTGGTTTTCGCGATAGTCATTTCATCGGCACATGCTACATCAATAATTCAAACCCTGACCTCTTGGGTTTAGACTGGTTCGAGAAGCTGCACCTGTCAGAGATTCCGTTAAGCAGTGTATGCCAAAAGATCGAAAGTATTGAACCCTCAACAAGAAAGCCAGAAATCAGAGACAGATATATTAAACCTAAGCCCATTAGAAAGAATGACGTGATTAATGAAACACCAACTTCGAATCGTCACAGTGAGTATGGCTGCGCCAAAAGTGCTTCGATGTCTGGTAGCAACAAAGTAGCAACTGTTAGCTCCAGTAAGAGAGGCTCTGCTCAAAAACTGAAAGTGATGTCTGTCATGGCAGCCAAAGATCCGCCACCAAGAGCATGGCCCACGTCAAAACCGTGGTCCCGCCTACATGTGGATTTTGCTGGGCCGATAGAAGGTGTATACTACTTGGTTCTCGTGGACTCTTACTCAAAATGGCCGGAGATAGTACAAGTGACACCACCTTCTAGCAGCAGAACAGTATCAGTCCTGGAAAAGATCTTCGCATGTCACGGTATACCAGAAATCATCGTATCTGACAATGGCGGTCAGTTCACCTCACAAGCGTTCCAGGAATTTTGCAAGAGAAACGGTATACAACACGTGCGGTCGCCACCTTATCACCCTCAATTCAACGGTCAGGCAGAAAGATTTGTCGACACTTTCAAACGAGCGTTGTTGAAAGCAGGGGGAGGGGCGAAACCGGAAGCAATACA